AGATTAGAAGATGCTGTGGGTTGAATCTAAACAACTGACGAAGAGTGAGAAAAAGAGACTCCATTTGACTCTGGTCCAAATAGATCTTCCTGTGATTAGCACAGGTTTCTGTCTCAGAGCACAATCCTGACACCCAATCCTCCCACACATAAAGGACATAGCTTCGACCTTACCACGGAGGAGGACAAAAGGCTGCAGGGCCAAGCACAGATCAGTTCTGAGCACGGAGGGCTAGCCGCGTTCAGGCATCCCTGATGCAAACTAAGCTGTGGAATGAGTAGTGACCCAAGCATCCTTGACTGACAAATTCGGCAGTCAAGAAATACTCCCAAATTGACAGAAGTTGACAGACACGGGAAACATGACCTTACAAATAAATAAGATGAATCTACATATCAAATTGAACAGGGGAGAACACTAGGGTAAGGAGCTAGATGTTCCACTCTCCTGTGTATAATTAAAAGTTAGTAAATCAATGAAGAGTGGCGAAAAGCAACAACAACAACGTGACACCGAAGGTCAGCAATTACTTGAAGGCAAAGATGCGAAGATAAGGAGACTGTAGCACCAGAGACAGAACAACCAGAGCCCAATTTTTAGGAAAAAATGCTGCCACGCTGCGGAAAATGTCACAAACGTCACTCAACAGTGTGTAGGCTGTTCTTGTCAGGTGACATGGACTCGGGTCCAGCGTATTGAACTCTGTATCCCACAGAAGGGAACACTGCTTGCTTCTGCACCAGCCCCACCACGGCAGGTTCCTGTGTGGGGACCTGCCGTGTAGTCACGGTGACAATGTATCTCTTGGAGAGGCTTCCTCTTGTTTACGGACGCTCACTTCCCCACTTCAGAAAGAGAAAGCTGTCAATTGCCAGGAAGACCTGCCAGTCTCAGAAACCCTGTCTAGGGTAACTGTGAGTTGGAATCAACTCAACGGCTTTGGGTTTTGCTACTTTTACCAAGCAGGATGTCCTTCCGGATGGCGTGACAATATGTATCGATACTGGCCAACGTGCTGTGTAAATTTTCATGGAAAACACCATGAAATATTTTTAAAGAGTGGTAAAAACATATTACTTCGGGTTAAAGAGATAACCATCTCAGAATTAAGTACAGAAACAGTTAACAAATAAATTAAAAGGATCCCTCTGTGAGCCATGAGACGATGAAGAAAGCCATTGTTTTCAACAAAAGTCCTTCTGTGCTGTCCGGTGTGGTACCACGTCCGTAGACGACTTTCATAAAAAGAATGCAGTGCCATACATCTCAGGAAAGGTAAAACACTAAAATGAATGCTGAAAATTGCAAGTGGTCACCAGATGTTATAACTGGAGGAACTGAAGCCAGTAAACAAAACAAAACAAAACAACCACCCTGCTAGGGAGTTGATCCTGATGCTTAGCGACCCTGTAGGGCAGGGTGACACCGCCCCTCTGGGTTTCTGAGGCCTGTATCCCTTTACGGGTGGAATGTATTTACTTGTTCTTGATAGAAACGCCAATCAACTGAAAAGTTTTCTTTAGGAATGTTTGTAGGAAAGGTAAAAATGGAAAAGGCCTTCGCAACTTGATGGTAGCTAGCTCCTTTTCTTCTCTGTAGTTATTTTCCAGCATGGGTTCAATCAACATATATCCCATTTATAATCAGAAACTTTTAAAATGCTTTAATGTGACTCCTGCTCTAAACCAGTGGGTCACCCCCCCTACACCCCCCCCTCCGCCCCCCAGCCTGGTTCTTGAGCTTCAGAGGACAGGGGAGACTACAGCCATATTAAGGGGTCACGCATTTTCACAGTGGAATTGCTCTACCGTTACCTGGTACCAGAAAGAAGTGTGTGAATCCCACAGAAGGCATGGATGTTCAGTAAAGGGGCCCTTTAAGAGACAGCAAAAGGCAATTCCATCATAGCGAGAAACCATCTTACTGGAGAAAAATGTCAAAAATCTTTTAAGGCTCCTTCAATATAGGCTGATAGGCTGCTTTGTCTTGGTAAGTAGGTAGATAAGATCAGAGGTCCATTAAATAGCCTCATGACTGAGAGTCACAGCTCATTCCCTACCCTGGCCTCCATTTTCAAACCACCAGACAGACAGACAACCACAACCACAGCAACCTGTCCCTTGTCAATGCTCAAATCATCTGGTTTCTGATTTTCAAATCCCTCACCTCAACTGCCCAGAGTCCAGAATGGCACTCACTGCTGGCCCCATTTCATAGATGAGAGCACTAAGTAACATGTAGGTTCTGTGAAAATTAACTCAGGGCCCGTCGCCATCACAAACCTCTACTCCACCTACCGCACGACATTGCCTTTTGAGGCTGTGTAACACACTCTGACCGAAAACACTGACCTGATCCCAACTTGAAACAGGGCTCTGAAAGAAACTCGGAGAGCACTTGGCAGATGGCTTGTCCCAAAAGACAATATTCATGATCGTTTCATTTTCTTAGACGCTTGGACCAAAGCTTCCAAGGATAGCTTCAGAGGCGGCCAATCTGCAACTTAGATCTGTTTCAGCAGTCATTTTCACTGCCAGCCCAGGCATCAATGTGGATACATTGTCTGCAGGCACCAAGGTGGATACATAACATTGTCTGCGGGCATCAAGGTGGATACATTGTCTGCGGACGAACAGCAACTTTAAACCCAGCTGGGGGACAAGGACTTCCATCCTTGTCCTTGCTTCACCAAACACAGTTCAGAGCAACTCCAATCTCTTATAACATGTATAAAAGGACATCTGCTTTTGTTTGTTTGCTTGATGCTTGTTTGGGTTTTGTTTTTCCCTAGCTTCCCTCTGCTACTCAGTAAGCTCACTCCCTATTTCATCTATTTAATAGCCATCATAATTATGTTGATCATAGATCATGTACTGTGTGTCTGGGTATTCAAAAGAGTGTCGAACTCATTTAAAATTAAAAAGGACCCTCACAGCCATCGAGTTGCTTCCAACGCATAGCAACCCTGTAGGACACAGTAGAACTGGCCCTGTGTGTAAATCTCTATGACTCACGAAGAGAGGTTGGTGGGTTTGAACAGCTGACCCTATGGTGAGGGCACAAGGCTCCTTCTGAAACCAAGAAAGGCCCTCTCTGCCTCCCCCCTCCCCAACTTGCTGGGGAAAATTAGTGAAATTTATTAAGAGTTTTCCTTCAAAGTTGCATTGCTTACCAATCTCCTTGCTGACAAGTCACAATAAAGTAGTCCAATCCCCACTGAAGTAAACTGATAGGCCCGTACTTGTTAAGAGCCCAGGTGATGCCCTAAGTCAGCGGTTCTCAACCTGTGGATCTCGACCCCTTTTGGGGGTCGAACGACCCTTTCACAGGTGTCGCCCAATTCCTAACAGTAGCAAAATGACAGTGAGGAAGTAGCAACGAAAATAATTTTATGGTTTGGGAGGTCACCACAACACGAGCAACTGTAATGAAAGGGTCGTGCATGAGGAAGGTTGAGAACCACTGCCCTAAGGTAAAGTGCTCAGCTGCTAACCCACCAGCCACCTCCCTCATCCCCCCATGGGAGGAAGATGAGGCAGTCTGCTTCCTCCATAAAGATGGGCAGCTGTGGAAATCCTAAGAGGCATTCTTCTCGTCCTACAAAGTCACTAAGAGTCAGAATAGACTTGACCCCTGTGGCTTCTGATTTGGGTTTTCAAACCACAATGTCTTTGCATTCAAAAAAAAAAAAAAAAAAGCTAGCATGTCTGCAGGCACCTACTTGACTTCCACCTGCTCTTCAGCAGAGAAGGCATGTCCAAGGGTCCGGCTGAGCACCCAATGATACTCAGAGTCTGCTTCAGGACAATGGCTTCTCAGCATGGCACCAGCTCTAGCTACAAAGTAAAGAACTCCTGCTCGCACCGGATGGCAACAGCGCTGGGGCAGGGGAAGAACAAGAACTGACCACCGGGATGAGTGAAGGCCTTTGGGGAGATTAAACCCCATTGGTCACTGCGTTTTTTCTTATCAGGATAGACTCATAGCAATCACACACTCACGATGCTGTGTCTTACGGTAACTTTTGAGTGAACGCTGCCCTACGGAAGAAGCACGGGCTTCACAACGAAGGCGAAGGCCAGTTCTTCGAAGAGGAGTGTCCTTTCTTGGCAAAGAACATCGCTGTTGGCAGTCCTGCCCCAGCGGGACTGCAGGCGCAACGTGCCTCTAAGCTTGGAGTCTCACCCGCCCTGGCCTCACGGGTTACCTTTCCAGTTCCAACGTGGGTCTTCCAGGGAAAGGAAGTAGCTGAGGTTACCGCAAACGAAACAATCGGCCCTCCTGTTTATGAATCTTGTTTTCCTACACAAGGCGATTTGAGCATAAGGTTCGCTACCTGATAAAACTATAAACAATGCGAACGGAAGATTTTATGGTATGTTAGTCTACTGAGTGTCCGTGATGGAAACTCCTGACCCAATTTCCACACGATTCGTCCAGCCCACAACGCCTGAGCCGTGCAGTTGCTAATTACTTCCCTGTGCCGTCATTACGTCACCCAGATGGAAGCAGTCAGGCCCACCGGGTCCTGCTCCGTTTTCCGACTTCCCCTTCCCAGGAAGCAGAGATAACAGACCACCTACACGGACAAGAATCTCGCTGGTCCCCACGCCCGGGGACTATTTTTGTCTTTTTCTTGCTGTCGCTGTCCCATTCGAGGGATCTGACTCCTGGTAAGAGGGCCCAGGTGTCTGCTTCCTCCTCCAACTTTCGGATCAAAGTCACCTATGAGATGGTTACAGCACTTCCCTGCCACCCCGCTGCCCCCACCTCTAGGACTATGGAAATCCTGAATCTTTTGAGACTCCCTGGACTCTGGCCGAATCTCTCTGATCCCCTTATCAATCCCGTACACAGAGCCTCGCTCCCAACAACCTTCCAGATCTTGGGGAAAGAACCAGGGAAAGGCACGCGCCTTCGGGCAATCGCGCAAGTGCGCGCCCTGAGCCGTCCGTCGGTCCTGGCTCTGCGTCCCCCCGCGCCGCGCCATGCTGACTTACTTGAGAAAGTATCGCTGGCCAGTGGCCGTAAAGGTCATCTCCCAGCCGGGGGGCAGCGGCAGCTCGTCGGTCACATCGTAGGACTGCTGGCGGAGGTGGGCGTGCTGCTGCGCCGGGCTGCCCGCGGCGCCCGCCACGGGGTCCAGCTGCAGGGAGGCGGGCGACGAGTGGGAGCGGACGTGCTGGGCACTGCCCGCCAGCCGAGGCCCCGGGTGGCTGCCGGACGAGTCGGTGCTGGACTGGCGCGAGTGGGCGCCCGAGTCCGGCTCCTTGAAGAAGGACTCGGGCAGGATCTTCTTCCGCCACGAGCTGGGCTTGGGGTTCCGCACCGAGTTGAAGAGCGCGTCGAGGTCAGTGTCCAGGTCCTGCGTGACGTGGATCACTTGCTGCCCGGGAGGCGGGAGCGGAGGGGGCCCCGAGACTGGATTCATCTTCTGCAAACAAACGACAAGGGAGGTCGGTTCAGCCTTTTCTGGAAAGCCAGCCGGGGGAGAGGAAGACGACCAGCAGCCCAGGCGACGGCGAGGTGGCCGCCTCGGGATGGCCCACACTCCGGCTCGCGGTGCTGCCCGCAGCGCGATAGGGGTGGCGTCCTCCTCGCCTGGAGAATTATGCAACTTTCAAGAAGCAAAAAAAAAAAGTTTCTCGGGAAGAGGGGGGAGGGGTGGTAACTGCACGCAGGGTACTACAGAACTGCTGCTGGCCAAGAAAAGGTCGCCGCTCTCCGGGACCGGCAGGCTTCCCACGAAGTCAACCCAAGTCAACTAATCCTGTGAGCCACCACCACGTCCCGAACTCCGAAAGCCAGGGACGCAGTGGGCGCGGGGCGCGGGGCCCGGGGAGCGGGCGCGCCCCAGCAGGAACTACCTGGGCGCAAAGCGGCCGCGGTCCAGCCTGAGATCGGCGTCCGGCCTGGGTCACTGGGCTGTGAACCGAGCTGGCGAAGCTGAAGTCGGGGTCCCGCGGGCCAATCTGGACCCAACCCGGTGCCTGGCAGCTGGGGACCTTCGGCTCTCACATGCCCTGCTCGCTAAGCAGACCGAGCTGCCGCCTCGCCGCCCCAACTGTCCCATAAACAAAGTTTGGAGCGCATTCCCACCCCCGGGAAAGAGGCGGGCCGAAAGTTGAGCTGTTGAATTATACATGACCTCCAAGGCCAGCTCGCGCCTGCCCCCAGCTCGCCCCTCCTCTTCCTCCTCCTTCTCCCTCCTCCCCGGCCTCCAGAACCCCTGGGCGTGATGGGTACTTTGTCGGGTAAGAGGAGACGGGTGCCCCCCACCTCCTCCTTCCAGGCCTGGCAGCCTGCTCGCGTGGAGCCCCGGATCTGCATTCCTTTGAGTTTACCACGGACTTGGGGCGGGATCAAAGGGAAAGTGGCCCGAGCCTGTTGAATCAAGGGCTGGTGGACCGAAACCGAGGCCGGGGGCGGCGGAGGGCACTCACTGGCGAGGGGAAAGGGGACAATGGTCCTTGCAAGCCAAAAGTCTTTTAAGTCCTGGCGCCCGGCGCGCTGCGAGGGCCCGCGGGCTCTCGTGCGCCCCTGGTCCCCGAGTCACCGAGGCCGGTCTCTCCACGAGAGGCCGCTCCGCTCAGCACTTGTGACCATATTTGGTGTGGCGAGGAGGCCGCTGGGCCGCTGGCTTCTCAATTGTCTGAGCTGGAGCGGCGCAGACGGTGCCCAGAAAGTGCCTCCCTCGCTGGAAAAGCAGCTTCGCAATGGGTGGGCCGTAAACAAGCAGTCTTCCAACAGCTAGTCCAGACGGCCTTTCTTCTGGGGCGCCGAGGGCCACTGGGATTTAAGGAGAAACAGCGGGAGCTGCAGGCTGCTGAGGGAGAAAGATAGGGACCCCCTACCCCGGGTGGTGGGAGGTTTGGAATGTTCTTGACGGCCATTGGGGAGCCTGGTACCGAGCTTGTGGCTGGAAACAGGGTATGCCAGTGACCTGGAAAAATCCACCCCACCCCACCCCCACTAGCTGGATCTGGGAGAGGGGTGGAGACCCTAAACTAGAGGCAGGAAGTTCAGCCTGGCAGGACCCACCCTGGTGAGAAGTGGGAGGTGACGAGACCCTACGGAGCAGCTCCTGCTCCACTGAGAGGAGCAAACGGGGAAGCGTTTCCAAAGCTGGCTGCGCTCCAGAATCCCGGCGCCCCGTCCCACCGGATGCCGAGAGAACTTTCTACGCCATCTCACACCGCACTCTGTAAGGCTCGGGAAACCGCACTCTGCCAGGCCGCGGGGGTGTTTGTTCAATAGGTCAGAGCGGCGCAGACGCTGGAGTGCGCCTTCATTCCAGGAGGGAAAGAAAGCCGGGGTCTGGAGTTGCTTTGAAGAAAAACCCTCCCCGTGGTCACTTTCCTCGGAAGACGGGGTGGAATTTAAGAGCCGCTCGCCCTGCTGTCTTGGCTCCCGAGTTGGCCTGTTTGCTAACTGCATGGTCTACAGCTGGAAACCACAAGCTCCCCCACCCCCCCATTAAAAGCGAACCGGACTCGGAAGCCCACAGGGGCAGTTCTACTCGAACCTGTCAGAAGATGCATTGAAATAGACTCAGTGGCAGTGAGTTTGGGGTTTCGTTTCGTTATTGTTTGGCTTTTTGCTTTGTTTTGAGTTTCCCTGAATAGTTGCATTCCCATGACTGCCCAAACTTGAGCCAAAACTCATCCGGTTGATTCAAATCAGAGCAGAGCCCACCAACGGGAACCCCCTCTCCCATTATCTGGGAGCCCACAGACTGGGAAACACCCAGGTTGCGGGTTGTAGCAGAGAAAGAGCCTCCTGGACCAGGTTTAAAGATAAACAGACTTCATTCCGGGCCTTCCCAATGTCCTGTTTTCCAGACAGCAAGTCCTCTGCCCAAGGTCGGCTCAGGGAAGTGGGAGGGAAGTAGCCACAGGTAGGTCCATGGGAAGCAGCATCTTTGCAAACTAAAATGACAGTCCAGCACAGCAGCCACCATGGGGACACAGGGATGTGCTAGCGTTAAATGGCTTCTGATTAAGGAGGAGCCCTAGTTGGTCCCAAAAGAAAGGCAGGGAAAGAACTGATGTCACACCCTTACAGAAGGGTCCCAGTCAGCGTGCATTATAGCACCCATGAAACATCCGACTTTCTTCTTTTTTTTTTAAATCATTTTATTAGGGGCTCATACAACTCTTACCACAATACATCAATTGTGTAAAGCACATTTGTACATTCATTGCCCTCATCATTCTCAAAACATTTGCTCTCCAACTAAACCCCTGGAGACACACATCTTTCTTCTAGTTCTTTAATGCTTCCTCCCCCCATCATGACCCCAATTCTACCTTACAAATCTGGCTAGACCAGAGCAAGTACGCGAGTACAGATAAGAACTGGAAACACAGGGAATCCAGGACATAAAAACTCCTCAGGATCAGTGGTGAGAGTAGCCATACCAGGAGGGGAAGGGGAAGATGGGTGAGAAAGGGGAACCAATCACAATGATTTACGTATAACCCCCTCCCAGGGGGATGGACAACAGAAAAGTGGGTAAAGGGAGACATCAGTGAATATAAGACATGAAAAATAATAATTGTAAATTATCACGGGTTCATGAGGGCTGGGGGGTGGGGAAGAAGGGGGATACAATGAGGAGCTGATACCAAGGGCTCAAGCAGAAAGAAAATGTTTTGAAAATGATGATGGCAACAAATGTACAAATGTGCTTGACACAATGGATGTATGTATGGATTGTGATAAGCGCTGTCTGAGCCCCCAATAAAATGATAAGCAACAACAACAAAAGAACTGATGTTAGTGAAGAAGACTGACAGTACCTGCCACGGACTGCCAGAAGAAGCAACAGATCTGTCCCAAAGAACTGCCAAAACACTCCTGCGCAGAAGCATGGTTGGTAAGTCCTTGGCGCACGTGCTTTAGACATATGGTCAGGAGAGAACAGTTCTGGAAAAGGACATCATGCTTGGTGAAGCAGAAGGGCAGCAAAAAGGAGGAAGGCCCTCCGGGGGATGGATGGGCACCATGGCGGCACTGATGGGCTAAGCATCACCACAGGATGAGGATGGCTCAGCACCGGGCAGTGTTTCATTCTGCAGTGCAGAGTCATGGTGAATCAGAACCTACTCAATGATACTTAACAAGCTACAGTTTATCTACAAATTGGAGATAATACAGCTGTCATCACTCAGAACTCAAATCTACTGCCACCAAGTCTATTCTGATCCACAGCAAGCCTGTAGGCCAGCGTATCACGAGCTGCCCTTTTGGCTTTCTAAGGCTGTAACTCTTTATGGGAACAGAAACCCTCATCTTTTGGGGGAGAGCTGGTGGTTGTAACTTTGCAGGCAGCAGCCTAACATGTAAACCACCGCACCACCAGGGCTCCCATACTTTCTTAGTTCATTACATTTCCAGCTTTCCCTGACCCACCCTCCTGATAGGAACGCCCTGTATAGGCAGTTCCATGAAATTTAGATTGGGTCTGTGACTTTGCTTGTTTTAACCAAGAACAATGTGCCCTTGAAGCTGTCCTACCCCCCTGCTCCTTGCCCCCACCCCCACCCATCATAAACTCTTAGAAGCAGTGAAACTTTCTTTTGGCACTTCGGGGAGAATTGAGCTGTCAGGGGAGAGAGTTCTACAGCACTCTTCTAGGGAAATCACATGGAGAGACAACAAGCCCTGAGGGACAAGGAAAGAGGGTGAAACTCAGCTACTGAAGCCCAACCCCCAGCCAGCTCCACTAGCTACTGACAAACATGTTTTGTCGTCCACCAACTCAGCCAGCAGAAGAGCCACACGGCTGAGCCCGGCCCAGATCCAGAGTCCAATGAATGCTGTCTTCAGCCACTAAATTTCATAGCCATTTGTTGTGCAAATGTGGGTTCCAAATATAAAATTAGACATTGTAAAGAAAGTTCTTAGCACATGGGCTACTATGTATTTCTAGAGGAGTGACTGGTAGATTTGAATCAGCAACTTTGCAGTCAGCAGCCCAATGCCTAACCCACCATGCCACCAGGGCTCCTTAACATTGCTGCAACACTCCTACTGGCTACTGCATAAGGCTCACGACCAGAATAGTCCCAATGAAATGAAAACTGTCTTGTCCATATACATGTGATTAATTTGGCCGAGACGGGGGAGGGGTGGGGGCAGTGTGTGTGTGTGGGGGGGGATGAGATTCAGCCCAGAGTTGGTAACCCTAAAGGCAAACTACTTGCTTTACTCTCTTGGCCTGGATGAGATGGGGTGGGGGTGGGGGTGGGGGGGCCGTGGGGGCTGAGGGGGGTTAGGGGGAGCAGGGGAAGGTTGCTCCCTGGTAGTACCAATTTAAGTCATCATGAGACCTACTTCCTGCCCATTTCATAAAGAAATGCCACCTGTTTGTTTTGTTTTGTTTTTAAGACAATAGACGGAGAGGAAACTCCTGCTGCTAGCTAAATCTTTCTATGTGCAGAGACTTTCCACCAACCCTCCATTGCCTGCTTCCAAAAATTCCCACCTGCCTCCCTCCCTTGCTCATGTCTCCCTCTCTTTCCACAGCACACCGGGGCAAGTGCTGGTGCTTCTTTCTGTGCCCGTCAAATCTATGCTGCCTTCCCACTCCCACAACATGACCTTATCTCCAACCAAAGTGCTTGGAGTAGCCCGGGTTCCCCTGCCTCCAGGTCCCTTTGAACGCCTGCCCACACGAACATAAGGCAAAGCTGCCAGTCTGGCAGATAAGCTCTCCCAGCAACCTGCCGCCAGTTTCACAGCTCTGCTGGTGG